TGAAAAGATAACTAGTTGACCCGGTGAAAAGGTGGAATAATTCCCACGGGTTTGGGATCAGATTATTACAGCTACAACATCGATTCGTAAACATCAAAATCAGTTACAAATATACCTCGGTCCAGACCAACTACAATCGAAGTAGATTACAAACTAGGGACAATCACCGTCACCAGTTGGTAGGATCATATAGCGGTGACAATCTGAATAAAAGGAGAAAAGATCTAAGAGGCAAGGAGGAGACCCGTAGGGTAGAGGGAAGGAGAGGTTGGTTGTGAAATTGAGATTATCTTTATTTTTTACTACTTTTCTTGATATGGATCTACTAGATCATGAGGACCTGTTGTAGCTATTGTAGTTGATCTACTTTTAGATTTGATAGGTTTTACCTCTTGTAGTTGGTAGGATATACCTGTTACTATTAATCTTTTAGGTTAGACCTAGGTGGTAGGAATTACAAACTATTTTCGTTATTAGTTGGATAGTTGCCTACGAGTTGGTATCTATTTTATTTAGGATCTACTTTAATTAATTAAATTGTAGTTATTCTCTTTTATTTATGATTCCACCTTTGGTTCCATTCCAGATCATTCGCCTAGGCTCATGCATAGCATCATAAATGATCAATATTATATTGGAGACAACGCTACGCTAATGCTAAAGCAACCGCTACACTAAGAGAATCGTTACGGTCTAAGACCTACACTCTAACCGTTACGCCTGTGGCTACACTCAGACAGATCATTCAGGTTCCTTCATTCATCGTTACAGCCTTAGGCTGCACTCATGGCATCATGATAGATCATGGTCAATTATTAATTAAAGAGACCGTTACGATTACATCTCCACTCAAGCATCTAAGCTAAAGCTAAGATCAATTATTAATAGCAGGTCATTACGGTCATAGACCTATATTCAATCAATAAGATGATAAATCATCTACATGCGGGCGGTAGGACTCGAACCTACATAGGAGTAAACCACTGATTTACAGTCAGCTCCCTAACCAATTCGGGCACACCCTTCCTATTCATACTCTCCCTCCGGTATGATCATGACCTACTGGGTGGCACCCCCTCCTCGTAGTCATCTAGAACGTATCATGGTGACAATATGAATAGAGAGGGAAGCAGAGAGAAAAGTTGGTGTAGCTTAGTAGTTAGAGCGCTGGGATCTGAAACCAGATGTTGCAGGTTCAAATCCTGCTGCCAACATGATCTGGATGATCTACACCTGCCGTTGTGATTGGTCTTGATAGGGTGTATGATTTATTATATTAGTAGTTGAGCCTCAGGTAATAGTCGATCCTTAGGACCAATTAGAAGATAACTAATAAAGTAGAACAGCATTTCTATTCCTGATCGATTGCAGGTGATATAATCTAGATGTTGGAATAATATTTTAGGCTCTACCTTCCTGTAAAATAGTTGTCATCTCTACTTGTTTGAGGTCTTCCCAGTTTTTGGATTCTCATATTATTTGCGTTATGATATATCATGGGTTACAGCTCTTAGATATATGGTTGTCCTAGATGTATGACCTACACCCCACAGGACCCAAGGTATCACAGAGGCAAGTATTACAGGTGCAACCACATTTCTACACCGACCCACCTACGGGACCAAATGATTAACATGATCTACTTCTCATCTAATAGAGGGGACCCGACCAGCTTTATCTTTTCTGCTTGTTTATTAAAATGTATCAGGTTCGACACCAAGAGAGGGAAGAATGAAAAGATGGTAATTGGTATTTTAAGATTATTTCTACTATTTCAAATCCCGCGGTAATTGTGATACTTTTTATTTAACTCTGCCTCTAATATTAATAATTTATGATCTACTTTTACTCTATCTTTTAATTAGCTACGCTTCTAATAGTTTAGATCGGTCTTGATTTGATTTAGATTCCTCCGGTTGTACCTAAAAAAGCAGGTCAACTCATAACGAAATAAGTTTAGGAATTCAAGAATCGATACGAGGTCAAACATCAGAAAGTATACTAGATGAGGCGGTCCGAGGTCAAACATCAAAAATAAAGATATATACTACTATTATTATTACTATTTCTAAGGGTACCTTTCTGACTCAGGTACAATATGTCCGACCGATATTCCATCGGACCTACTATTTTCGTTACTAGTTGACATCAAAATCTGTTACAAATATACCTCGGTCTCCAACTAGATACCTAGGACAATATCTGTTCCTGATTGTAGCAGGACTACCGACTAGTTAATTGGCACCCATCTAGAATCGCTATCACATATTGTTCACGATTATTCTCCTTCTCTTCTTGTTCTAATTTAGAAATATAGTTGCATGAATTACAGTTACAGATCTGGTACCTAGGTGGGTCTCGTAGAGAACCACATCTCTTCGAGAGGTGGGGTAGGAACATACTAGCGGGAGAATATGAATAGGAAGGGAAGAATGATAAATAAAAAATATGAATATGTTAATGGCCGCTAAATTAATTGGTGCTGGTCTTGCTACTATTGCTCTTGCTGGTGCTGCTGTAGGTGTAGGTTTAATTTTCGCTGCCTTGATTCAAGGTACTTCTCGTAACCCTTCTTTAAGAAAAGAACTGTTTAACACTGCCATTCTAGGTTTCGCTCTAACCGAAGCTCTTGGTCTATTCGCTTTAATGATGGCTCTTATCTTCCTATACGCTTTCTAATCGTAGATTAGCACCTGAGGTGCATAGGCCCGTAGGTCTAAGACTAAGTCTGTTACTAATCTAGTTGGAAGGTCTAACCTAATTAAATAGATCCTAAATAACTAATCATAAATAAGATTAATAATTCCTAATTAAAATAAATAATAGATGAAGTAGATTTTAATAAAATAGAAACAGTTTAATTACTAATTAATTAATTAGGTTCTACTTATATCTAGGATAGATGGTATTATACTTGAATGAGAGAATCGAATGGTCTAAATGGAGATGTAATCGGAATGATTGAATGAGCTTCGGCGAATGGTCTGGAATGTAGATTTATCGTAATGAATCTTTGTTTCTTAATTTAATAAAGATACTAGCTTTAGCTAGGATGCTCTCTCAGAGTGTAACGGTAGCGTAGCGATTGTAATGTAGATGGAATCGGAATGACTCTGTCTCCTAGTAATAATTGATCATTTATGATGCCTTGAGTGTAACGATTCAGGAATGAGGGTTACACCTGAATGGTCTCTATTATATATTTGATTCTAACTTTAGGTAGAATGCCATTATAATTGAATGAGATCTCTGATCGAATGCTCTCTCCGAGTGTAGGTCTAAGGACCGTAACGATTCTGTTAATTAAATCATGATCATGGTTTACCATGATGGTATAAGTGAAGCTACGCTTTACGCTTGAATGACACCTCTGGTGGAATGGTCTGCCTATTAATTAATTGATCATGATTTATTATGATGCTATTAGTGTAACCGTAGCAGAGCTTATCGAAGATCAGCGGTGCAAATCTCCGATTAGGTGTAACGATATCTCTGTCTCTGAGTGGAGATGTAATCGTAACGCTTCTCTTTATTTAATAGTTGATAATAATTTATTATTATGCATGTATGAGATCTCCGATCGAATGATCTGAGTGTAGCTGAAGCTTTAGCTTAAGTGGAGCGACTCTCTTTATTTAATAGTTGATCGTAATCTAGATGGAGATGCTATGAGTGTAACGATATCTCTATTAGGAATAAGGTCAAAGACCTAATGATCTAATTAGGAATGTAGATGGGTACCATCGTAATGTTGTGTCTAGTTAAAATATTGATCATAATTTATCATGATGGATTGAGTGGAGATGAAATCGTAATGAATCTTTGTTTCTAGTTAATAAAATTGATCATGATTTATCATGATGGTATAAGTGAAGCTACGCTTTACGCTCTAATGGAACCAAAGGTGAAATGGATCTTTGTCTCTTTATTAAATAATATTGATAATAATTTATTATTATGCTTTTAGTGTAGCCACAGGCGTAACGATGAATGAGATCTTTAGATCGAATGGATCTAATTAAATAATGATAAGGATCTATCCTAAAACTAATAGGACCTAATAGATTATAAAAGAGAATCAGTAAAAGTAGATCTTAATTAGAAGTAGAACATAAAAGATATCGTTACGATGGTCCCCATCTACACTGTGGTTGGTAAACCACATTCGCTACGCGACTGTGGCCTCGGAGATGCCACATTCCTACGGACTCATCAGGGCCAACGGCTCTAGCGGTGCTTGTCAGCGACATGCTACGCAAGTCTAGACTAGTGCTAGCAGGTGCCGCAACGCAAGCGTCTCGAAGAGATGCATGTCCTTCGGACAAGCGTAGCTCATCACCGTAGGTATAGATCACAACTCTGGCTACGCTAATAAAAAGGTAGGGTAACGAAACCACCTTAAAAAAGCACAGAGACGTCCGCCGGGCAGCGAGCGCCGTAAGGTCGGGTATGGGTAAATAATGTAATAAGTATCTGATTAAACCGCTCGTTCCCGAACGATTACTTTGTTACAACTTAGCGACCCTAAGCGGAAATAACATAATTCATTATTGGGTGTGGGCCCCGCGTCAGCAAGCAACGCTCACCGATATGCACCAATAACTCTATTAGTATTACAACCACCTTGGCACGCTTGATGGGCGATTTGTACAGCCTCGAGACTTAGATTCACCGCAGGATGATAAACTGCGATTACTAGCAATTCCAACTTCATGTGACCGAATTCCAGGTCACAATCCGAACTGAGGTAACGGTTGATCGATTGATAGTTACCTTTGTAGCATGTGTGTAGCCCTTCTCATGGGGCCGTGCGTGCTTGAAGTGGGGTGCCTAATTGCACGTAGCGCTGGTTATCCCAAACAATCATCACTGAACCAACTTACAACAGCCATGCAACACCAAGGGCTCAAGAGAACCCAAAAGAGAAGGTAAGATTTAGGGCGTACCATCCAATTAAACCACATGCTCCACTGCTGGTGTCAAGACCCGCCAAATCAATTCCATTTCTACGTTGCCATAGTACTATGGAGGCGGAATGTTGGGTAATTAATGTATCGACCGTAACATTCAGTATTCAGGGTGTGGACTACTCGGGTATCTAATCCGGTTTGCTCCCCACACTTTAGTGATTCAGTGTCAGTTATAAAATAGAGTGATGCTGTCGCTTTTGATGTTCCAACCAATATCTATAGATTTCATCCTTCCATGGGTTATTCCTCTAACTCTCCTTTTATAACTCGAGCCCATATGGGCCACCCGATCACACTTAATGCCTATTCAATATTTCAAAACGCAATCCCACCTGTGTTACCGCGGCTGCTGGCACAGGTTTTGCCGGGATCATTCGCGAGGACCGAGTTCATTATACAGGTCCATGTGAGCAAGATATATCCTGCTGCCATTGGCTGGGTCAAGCTTTCGCCCATTGCCCAATATTCCTCACTGCTGCCAAGGGAAGGGCCTTCTTTGAAGCCCTCTGTGGCCGAAGCTAAGGATCACAGGCATGGTTTGCTTTTACCATCTGGGATGTCCAGACCCCATATGGGGAACCATCAACCTAATCCTCAGGATGAATCATCCATCGACGTCGATACACGACATCGGGGGGCCGATTGACCCTATACTCACCTTTTTGCAAAAAATACTTCAGTATTTATTATACCAGCATGTGTTAGGCCAATGACCTGCGTTTATAATGAGCCATGATCATACACTGGCTATTACTAAGGATGTAAATCCTGATTATTCTACGGGGTCGGATTTTTTCCGTTCTCCTCTCTATTCATATTGTCACCCCTATATGATCCTAGGCACCTACCCTTTCATATTTACGAACGCATCCGAATGAGAATATGAATAGAGAGGGACCACAGGTCAAGGGGGGAGGTAGCAGAATTAAGGACTAATTGTGGATGACTAGCCATTCAGATTAAGGAGGTTAAATTCCAAAAGGGAATCGCCCACATGGGTATACCAATTCCAAAGGTGAAAGCCTAAATTAAATAGCCAATGAACTGAGATATCTAAGTAGTTGGTAAATAAATCAAAAGAGAACTCTCTGAGTAGTGAAGAGCGAAAGGATAAAGGCCAAGACGAGCAGAATTGGAGATATATCCGCTGCCATCATATATATGCAATGGGCAAAGGCCACCGGCTGAGTATAACTGAATGGCGATAGTGTAAAGTACCGAGAGGGAAAGTTGAATAAAGAACC